TTCTTCCATCTCTCTTCTCTTTTCTCTTCCCTTCTTTCTTCCATCTCTCCCTCCTTCTCTTCTCCTTCCCTTCTTCTTTCTTCCATCTCTCCCTCCTTCTCTTTTCCTTCCCTTCTTCTTTCTTCCATTTCTCCCTCTTTCTCTTCTCCTTCCCTTCTTCTTTCTTCCATCTCTCCCTCCTTCTCTTCTCCTTCCCTTCTTCTTTCTTCCATCTCTCCTCTCCTCTTTTCTCTCCTCTTCTTCTGAGAGATGTTTTTTGTCCCCTTTGACAGCTTGCAATCCGAACGCCTGCCGGGCCATGGGCCGGGGTCTCCAGCCGAAGGGGGTCCGCGTGAAGGAGGTGGCGGACTTCAAGGTTTACACCAAGGGAGCCGGCACGGGTGAACTGAAGGTCTTGGTCAAGGGACCAAGTAAGTTAACAAATTTTTTTCTCTCTCCTTACCTTACAAGAAATCTAATCGTGGTCTCCAAGTTGCAAAGAATGTTACCCTCAACTTAACAATCACAACTGATCCCACCTGTAGCCAAATGATTTTAAAATCACATGTTTTTTTTTTAAGCTGGGGGAAAAAAAAGCTACGGCTGGTTTCGTAAGTTGCTTTCATAAGTTGCTACCGAAGCTTGATTCTTCACCAGGGATCTCCTTGTGGTCTCCTTTCCTTACTTAGCAATGGTCCAGAACGAATCATAAGGCTCACTTGTTTGTACAGGGGGATGCTCTACAGGGCTGGGATTTAAATTTCTTAACAACTGGTTCTGTTCGGCCTAATTTGTGGGTGTGGCTTAGCGATCATGTGACTGGGTGGATGTCACTTGCTGACTGGGCATGGCTTGGTGGTCATGTGATTGGCTGGGCGTGGCTCGTAAGGAAATATTATAAATATTTATGTAAATATTGAATTTTTTTTTTATTAAAAAACAGCAACTTTTACCCCAAATCAGGCAAAGCAGGCAGGCAGATTGAGTTGCTTGCAGAATCACAGATCCACTCAGAGATCTACCTTTCTGCAATCTGCTACCTGAGTCTGTCACATAAAATTTGCTTACAAGCAAACTCATAGAATTTGCTAGCAAGCAAACGCACAAAATTAACTCACAACACACCATGTATGTAAATATTTAATTTTTTATTTCAAAAAAAAAAGAACAACTTTTGCCCAAAATCAGGCAAAGCAGGCAGGCAGATTGAGTTGCTCACAGAATCGCAGTTTCACTCAGAGATCTACCTTTCTGCAATCTGCTACCTGAGTCTGCACTGAAACATAGAAGCTTCAGTCCTAAGGAAGGTTCAGCTCTGCTTTTAGATTAGCTAGAAAGCAAAAAATCCCAACATTTCCTGCTTTCTAGCTAATCTAAATCTCCCAGCAAAGCAGAACAGCTGATAGTCGGGGAGGGGAGGAAGGAAAAATAGCAACTTACCAAACACAGGTGAGTTGGATGGCGCCTATGCCAGGTAAGGAGTGAGTGGGTGGGACGGAGAGGGGCGGGGCCAGCCAGTGGCATGATTTGCCAGTTCTCCGAACTGTGCAGAACTGTAACAACCGGTTCTACAAAACTGGTCCGACCAGGTAGAATCCCACCCCTGATGCTCTAATAAAGTTGTGTTTTTCACCCTAGAAGGAACAGAGGAACCAGTGAAGGTGCGAGATGTCGGCGATGGGGTTTACGAGTGTGAATATTACCCCAAAGTGCCTGGAAAATACGTGGTGTCGATTACGTGGGGCGGACACGCCATTCCGAGGAGGTAGGCCACTCCGCGGCGGCTCTCGACTAGGCAAACGTGGCCCTTTATGGACCTCCAACCAGGAACATCTGTGAGACCCGCAACCAGACTATTGGAGCTGCGCCCCCTTCGTCTTACGCTTCTAGCGCAGTGTTCCTCAATCTTCCCAGAGTTGGGAGGGAGCTTAGAGGCCATCTAGTCTAGCCCCCCCCACCCCCACCCCCAGTAAGGATAAGATCCGGTGGAGCAGCCCTGGAAAAAGGGCCATCCTCCACATTTTCACCTCAAGGGGAACTGGCTTCCCCCACAGGCCTGTTTTTGATTTCACAAATTATAGTTTAGTAAACAGGGTCGAGCATAATGTCTGCACTCAGACGTGGAAGGAGTGTGTGTTATGTTCTCCTGCGTAGTCTTTCTCAACCTTGGCTCGTTTTAAAGGGGTGGGACTTCAACTCCCAGAATTCCCCCCGCCAGCAAGGATTCTGGGAGTGGAAGTCCGCTCATCCTAAAAGCTGCTGAAGTCGAGAAACTCCGTTCTAGTGGCCGTGAGTTCCACAGGTGATGCTCAGAGAGTGTAAGCTGGTGCAGAACCTGATCCAGAGGGCTGCTCGGGGGCTGCAACTGGAGGAATTCAGAGAGGGAGATTCTGGCTTGCAGGATAGAATCTGTTTATTTGTTCATTTATTTATTTTTTTCATCTTGCCTTTATTATACTGATAAATAACTCAAGGCGCGGTGAGCAAATCCAATATTTCTTCCTCTTCCTCTTTTCCTCACAACAACACCCCTGGAAGGTGGGCCTGAGCTGAGAGAAAGAGACTGGCCCAAATTCACCCTGATGGCTTTTATATCTAAGGTGGGACTAGAACTCACTGTTTCCTGGTAATCGTCCCAAAGTCACCCAGCTGGATTTCCTGCGTTAAGACAATACTAGAACTCACCATCTCCTGGTGATTGGCCCAAAGTCACCCAGCTGGCTTTCATTCCTAA